ACAAGCTTTTGTCGAACCCCCGTCGACATAAAGCAGATAGAGTCACCCCCCCTCCCCCCCCCTCTCGCGTGATCGTGCCCCCATAACACAACCCCCCCTCTCCTCCTCGTCTCTTGCCTGAACTCCCACCACAAGATGGCCACCGAGAGCCCATTGGCTAGCCTTTACAACGACCAGGCTCCCCTCGAGCACCACCACCTGGCCATCATGTTCCAGATCCTCAGGAGGGAGGGGTGCGACATCTTGGGACACCTGGAGAAGCCCCAGAGGGTGAGAGCGGGAGACAGAGACAGAGAGACAGAGAGTCGGCTCGAAGGCAGCGGCAGTGTTTGGTGGTGATCGATTGTGAAAGAGGGGTTCCGTGGGTACACCGGGGGAGGGGTCGCGCACGTGCCGCCGCAGGATTTCGAGCGTGTAAGTGGGTGGTGTGATGTATGCGTAAGGCATCTTCTTCTCTCTTTGTGTTCCTCTCCGCCATTGCCTCTGCCTGCGGTACTTGCCGCTATTTTTAGAAGCGAGCAGGATGCAGCATCGCCTATTTTTTGTTTGGTTCGCGGACATTGTTGGTGCCCCCTCACGTAGAAAGAATGCGTGCGTGCTTTTCGTTTTCGGCCCGACGAGACCAATCGACCTCCTCTGTTGTCGCACAACACCGCATTTTTTCGCCGCCGCCGCCGATGTTGCCGTCGTCGTCTTATTCCGGCTTATTCCTCTTCTCGCAGACGCGCATCCGAGAGGTGATGATCCAGGGCATCCTGGCGACGGAGATGTCGGAGCACGGGACGCACATCAGCAAGGTCGACAAGCTCACCAACGACTTCCCGAGCATCACGCTCCGGGTGGGCGGTTGGGCCTCGGGGGACATCGGCCGCGGCACCGACCGGTCGAACCCGGGTCCCCTGCTGTCCCCGCCCCAGCCCGGCGGCGGCGGCGGCGGCGGCAAGGAGGCCCTGGGCATGTCGTTTTCATCCATGGGGCCCCCTTCCATGCGGGGGGGTCCGCGGATGGGACCTCGTGCGCTGCTGCAGGTGCCCGGCGCCGAGGCCGCGGCCTTGGGCCTGGCGGACAGCGACAGGCTGGCGGTTGCGAGCGCACTGCTTCACGCGGCGGACCTTAGCTCCCCCGGCAGGCCGTTCGCCACGTGCAAGGTGTGGGTGCTGCGGCTGTTGGAGGAGTTCAAGTTCCAGGCCGAACAGGTGCGTGTGTGTGTTTGTGTGTGTCTTTATTATTAGCATCGACCGCGCTGCATAGCCGGCTGACCAATGGAAAGACGTCAGTCTTCTAGCGGGCGGGCGCGTGTGGGTTGCTTCAATTAGCATCGACCGCGGTATCCAACTGACCAGATGAAATGATTTTCGGTGGTTGCGTCGTTTTCGTGAAGGGTGGAAAAGGGGGGTGGAGGGAGCAGCGGCGAGTGACACGGGGGAAGTGAGTGAATGGCATTGGCGTTTGTTGTCGTTTTGCCGCACACGCGATGGTACTCTTGTTGAGCAAAAAAGCGCAGATCGGTGACACGCTTGGAGCTGCACCGGCATCTACACCCAGGTAAAAAGAAGCCCACCCTTCACGCGTGCCCCCCAACCATCCCCCCCTGGCGCTCCCACCTCTCCCCAACCCCCCTTACGCTCCTACTTCCCCGTGTCCCGTTCGTTCCCTGCCTCCTTTCCTCCGTTCGTGTGCTATCAGGAGAGGCAGCGTGGCCTGCGGGTGACGGTGTTGGAGGGCCCGCCCTCCGCGTCACAGCCGGGCTTCATCGACGCCTTCCTCCTTCCGTTCTTCACGGCCCTGCTGCCGATAGCCCCTGGGCTGGCGGACGAGTACATCCCCAATCTGCAGGACAACAGGTGAAAGGACGGGGTCTTAATTTGACCCTAAACCTACTTGCATATCCCTAGCTCTTCCTCCACCTCGGTGTGACGGACTCCGGAAAGATGGATGACGGACTCCACTGGTTCATTGGAAAGAGACCGAGGGAAAGGGGGCGCCCACGATGAGCCGCACGCCGCCGCTTCTTCAGTTTTTGTGTCCAGGAGCGTTTTTGCGGAAGGATGCGTGATACTTGCTCCATTTCGTGATCTGGTTCCGATATGTTGTAGCCGCTGCGTCTGTTTGGTTGTGCCGCGGAAGTTTAAGAGCGCGCCACCTCCGGTCGCTGCTATTTACGATAAACCTGGTTTCCGGCGATGAATGCATGCATAGACCTACACATTGCTGTGCAGTAGCGTGGGGCGGGTGTTGGAACTAACAACGTGTTGCGACTGCTGCTGTTGATTTTGTCGCCAGGGGTGCTATTCTTTCCTTGTTCAAAAATCCACATGGCGGCCGTGTATGTATTGGTGTGTGTGACGCCCTGGCGTATATAATCACATCCTTGCACGGATTGAATTTGTTTTCGCCAATTCCCCCCCCCCCAACGCTGCACCATTGCACCAACCCCCCAGTAGTAGTGATTTCGTACCATTACAATGTATCGCTGGTTGGTGGCCATGTTTGCGTGTTTGCTCGTTCGTTAGTGGTCTCTCCACTGTGTGCCTTGTTCTGCCTCATACTTCCTGTTATTTTCGGCCTGGTCCCTCTTTGTCCTCGCCCTTTTTCATTTTATTTTCATTTATTTTCTCTTCTCCTTACGGTTTCCATTTTTATTTTTTTCTCCTTTTTTTTTTCTCTTTTTTCTTTTTTTCTCTCTTTTTCTGTGCCAGATGGCCTTGTCTCTGCTTGCGTTGTGAAGTACCAAGATTGAACCAAGGGGGTGTACCTCTTTCTCTCCGGCCCATGATAGATAGTGACTGCTAGTCTCAGTTGATACCTCGCATAGCGCGAAGAGGGAGCAGAGGATCCCAGAATATCTGTCGTTGATTTCTATTGACTTGCGGACCCCTCGGGGCCAGTTTATTTGAGTGTACCTTTTTAGGGTACGTTAACCTGTGACCACGGGAATCGACCGCGTCGAGTGTTGGATCAGTACGGACATACGAAGGTACTGGGTAGAGAGAGATCGGAACGGTTTTTAATGTGAAGACAACAACAACAACAACCGTCCCTCTCCCCCTGCTTCTTCCCCTCAGGAACCAATGGGCCGCAATCGCAGAGCAAGAGGCTCAGCTCGCTTCCCCAGACAGAAGCAGCAACGTCGACAAGGCCGGCGACAGGAGCAGCACCGGGAGCGTGACCAGCACCGGCCCGGGCAGCGCGGGCGGCGGCGGCAGCGGCGGCGGCGTAGGCCGGCGAAACAGCGGCGGCGCGGACAGCAACGGCAACGGCGGGGGCGGCAGCGGCCTGCCGCCGCCGCCGCCGCCGCAGCTGTCGGGGTCGTCGTCGTCCCCGACGACTTTCGACGGGCAGCGGCGTTACAGCGGCGGCGCGATCGGCATCGCCAGCATGCTGGGCAGCCTGGGCACCGTCCCGACCGGCCGCTCGATCAGCGACGGCAGCATCGACAGGCGCGTCAGCAGCATCATCAGCACCTCCCCCGGGGTCCCGCCGGAGTTCCCGGGCTTGCGCGATGGAAGCGCCGGCGCCAGCGCGGGCGGCGGTGGCGGCGGGGCGGCCTGGAGACGGCAGAGCGCGATGGGGCCGGCGACCGGGGCAGGGCCCGAGTTCGGGTATCCGATGTGGCGGGGGGGTGCTGTTCGAGGAGCGAGCGTCCCGCTGGGGGGGGCAGGGTGGGGAGAGAGGACGGCGGGGGACGGGGAGATTGTGAGCGAGGCCACCGCGGCAGCCAAGGCACAAGGGATACCACCGGCACCAGCAGCGGCAGGCTCAGCAACAGGGTGGACGATTGATGTTGGTGGCGGCGGGGTCGCGGGAGAGGTCAAGGCCGAGGAGGCGGATTCGGAGGAGCAACAACAGGGGGGGGGTGAGGAGAGGCCGGAGGGGGGAGTCGAAGGACAGGCGCTGCCCGAGGCCTTGCCTGAATGAATCGAGAAGAGTAAGCACGGACTGCTTGCTAGGGGGAGAGAACGAGGCACGATGTCTCGTGCATTTGGAAGGTGAAACTTGATTAGTTTTTGGCGATTTGTTGTGTTCTTGCTTGTTGTGTGCTGGTTGCCGTTTTTTCACTGTCTGGGGTCAGGTCAAGTCAAAATCTGGGCATGGCTTGCTGTGTTTTCCTGGGGAGCTCTTTTTTCCCGCGCGAGGCACAAGGCGAAGCAGGCTTGGGCGGTGTAAGTAAAATGATTGGGGGGTTCTGGGTTGTAACTATACGTGGCCTGGGAGCTCGTCATCCGTTCAAAAAAAATCTGAAAGGAGACGCCGCCTGCTGGGCTGCTGCGTGTCCTTGCGAAGATGATGTGCAGACAGCACGTCACGGCCGCGCGTAGCGTGAGCGTATTGGTTTTGGGGAAACTGTGTGGTCCCGTCCGTCGTTTGTAGCATTTGTTCTTTGTTGTTGTGTGGGCTCGTTTATTGCATTGCCCCCCCCCTCCCCCCCCCGTTTTTTTGTGGTTATCTTGTTTAGTTTCCTTGGACATTCGATGCCTTTTTCAAGCGTTGTCCTGCACACAGGCCGTGTATGAGAGTGTCCCAGGTTTTGGATCGTGGTTCCTACAGTACCCTTTTTTTCGTCTTGTCTCTGTCGCTGATGCGGGCTCCCCTTCGACATGGCTATTTGTTTCGTTGGTCGTGGTGTCGTTTTCCCTTCTCAAGTTTTTGATTATTTTTTCACAGAACAGCGGCAGTCTTTGTCTCCGAGCTGGATCGTTGGGATGGGGGGTGATGTTGTGGTGTTCTGTTTTTTGTTTTGTCAAGAGATCCCCTGCCTCTTCCAGGAAAAATGTCGGGGTGGCCAGGCCCCGGTGGGTCGTGCTTGAAAGAGGCGGCTCTCGTGCGCGAGGGCAAAAGACGTTTATTTGCACCTTTTGATATCTCGGCTTCGTAAGATGACCGGTGTTTGCCTATGTGTTTGTAGGACTGCCTTTGTTAGGGAGTACAGCAGTACTTTTGCCTCACAAGGGGGGCTACGTGGCAAGCGGGTTAACAACCCGGCCGCCGATGAGTATTTTTTATTAGATTCCTGCGCGTTGTATCCGCAAGCATGGTTGTAATAGGGGCAGATCAGGCATACAACGCTTCTTTTTTTGAGTCGAATGGAGTCGCCAGAGGCAGCGGGGGGTGCAGAATTCTCGACGACGGTGTTGTTTTGTTGTGTACCCTAGCCTCGTGGCGTCCTTTAGAAGAACGGTTGGTAGCCTCTCGAAGGATTGAGATGCGGACTACGGGTAGAGTGCCGCACATCCCACACTGCCCTGGGTGTGTGTCACCTCGAGGAACATGGGGGTCAGTTTATGGCAAGAAAAGTACATGCGAGCGACCGAAGTTTTTGCTCGAAACCGTGGAACCTCCCCCCCGCGGGAACGCGAGAAACAAGCGGCGGCTCTCTTTCGTGAGGTTCGATTGAAACTTGATCCGTTCGTGCCGAGGTTTCTTGTGACTGATGAAAACTGCTGTGCTGTTGAGACAAATTCCTTGACATCCCGCTCCGTTTAGATCCAGATGACCATGAGAGGTCTTGTTGCTGTGGCCCTTTGCCGGGGGCTTCGCGGCAGAACACGGTCACACTCCTATTCCATCGGCATCAAGCCACAGGTGGACACCCGCGATGGAACCAAAAAAGAATAAATACCCCTTGCAATACTGTACCGTCTTTCCTCGCAGCTCTATCTCCGCTAAGAGTTGTACTTTCGGGTTATACACGCAATTTTGTTTTGCGCCCCACCGCCGCTCAAGCTACTAACACCCACACAACGAAGCTAGTCAGAGAGCGGCATCCCCCTTTTTTCCCGCTCAAAGCAAAAAACAAGATCCGGTCTTCTTGCTATGCCCCAAATGGTACATCGGAAAAAATACCTCTGTCTTCATCGTTGTTGAGGTGGTACACCAGCCTACCAAAGAACATGTCAAACGAGCTTCTTTACGAACTGTCTCGTTTGCAAGTGCTACCACGAGCTGAGCGCACGGCGACACAGCACAAGGTCTAACCCTAATTAATTCTAGCTTTACACCCCCTTCTCCGAGGGATATCGTCGACAAGCTCTCCACGCACACCCAGATGGCAGGAGCCTTTCCACGTGTCGTTCACCGTCCCTCTGCGACAGCTTCCCAGAAAACAGTTGAAGCGAGTAGCCAACAGCACAGCAGTCGTCACTCGGGGCAAAAAAAAGTACAACACCATTAAACAAGGCAAGAGGGAAAAACTTGTGTGAATTAAATTAGTTCGTCATGTACAAGCCACACAGCGGTCCAGGTCACGGCGCAAGTAAATAAGCACGGGTGTTGCCCACAACGATAGTGTCTTAAGAAGGAGCGCGTTCGTGGAACACCATTTCTCCGCACACCGCGGCCAACGCCAACAGGGCGCCGAACGTCCCGTGTCCCTCACGCGCCCACGCCCCCGCCGCGAAGCAAATGCCGCAAGACAAGCCCCTCCACCACGTGCGAATCGCCCGTTCCCTTAGCGACGGCCCTCGAACGCTTTTCGTTGTCTCAGCGACAGCAGCAGCAGTACCAGCGCCGCCACCATCACCGCAACTACCGGCCTCAGCGCCTGCAACTCCAGGTCGAACTACTACTTTGATGCTCGGCGCCGAAGGAACGAAACCGCTATCAGCGTCGCCAAGGTGAGGACCCTTGTCGTCACCAAGGCGAGGACCCTTGTCGTCAGCACCGCTCACACGCTCGTGGAACTGCGGCGTCGGCGGCGCTACGCTGCGGCCTACATCCCCCACCTCCGCCTGCCGTGGCCGACGGAGCGGAGCGTCCTGCTTTCTCGCATCGCTTTCCGGCTTGTCGGCGAGTCGGCCGTCCGTCGTAGCCGTCCCCGAACACCGGTGAGAGTGGAGCGCGGGCGTTGTTGTTGTTGTGATTGTCACCTCGGGCTGCCAGGATTGCGACGCCATGCGCGATCGCGATGGTCGTGATCGTGACGATTGCGACGACCCGGACACGTACAGGAACCGCTCGTGCTCATGCTGGTGGTGGTGCTGCTGAGGTTGTGGCTGCTGCTGACGCTGTGGCTGCTTCTCTCTTTGATGCGTATGGTGCTGATGCAGGTGCTCGGGCTGATGCACGTGCTTGTTCTCATTCCGGCGGGCTTGTTCAGTGAGCTGGGCAGCGCTGGAAAAGAAGACTCGGTCTGAGGGTCGCGCCCTCAAGCTACGTAGAATGCTTCCCAGGCGGTCCAAGTGCTGATCCTGGTGGTGCGGGAGGGTCGGAGTATATCCAAAAGGTAGTTGGGGTGTTGAAGCTGGTGTACAAGATGGGCTGCAGTCCTCCGTATGATCGGTGTGAGGCAAGGAGATCTGGTCCTCGACGGCCATGTAAGACGTCAAACCCTGCAGTATTGCCCACCTTTACCTTGGATGCGTCCCCTCCTACATATTGAACGAACTCCCGGGACCAAGGCATGCGTCTCCAGCATGCAAGGAGGAAAAACTTGAGCAGGTCTCTCTCTTTCTGTGTCTCTCTTTCTCGTTCTAGCTCTCTCAATCTCTCTGTGTATGTCTGTCTCTCTGTCTCTCTTCTCTGTCTTCCGTATGTAGAGTTGGCTTTGATAGGCTCGAATTTCTTGCGCGCACTCCATCCTGTTCAGTTAATCCTTTGATCCATCTCCTACCGATAGTATAACAGCAACTACAGACACGAGTCGCCACCGCCGTGCCTGGCACAATCTTGTCTGCGAAGACACTCGCGGCTGCTTTGTCGAGTGTGGATAGAGGCGTGGTGAGCCCATTGCCCACACATTTGTTTAGTAGTACGATGGACATTGGCAAAGAACTCTTGCCTAATGGGGCGATAGCGAGTAGGGTACAGCAGTACCTCCGCTTGTACTTCATATGCTCGCAAGCCGCGCCGCTACGTCTTGAATCACACATCCAGCACACTCACCGCTTCCTGCATCTTGCTTGGGAGAGACTCCATTGCCCAACCAGGAAGACGCTTTCGTCCTTACGCTTTTTTCTTGTCCCTCTCTTCCTTTCCTCTGTACAGCACTTCTGACTTCACCCTGCCTCCTCCCAATCCCAACTCCCAACTCCGAACTCCCCTCGTCCGCGGAGCGCGGAGCAACAGAGCGGTTCTGAATTTGCATTGTACCGCTTCGGAAGAACTTATCGGCGCAATAGCGTTGTCGACGGTTTCGAGGAGAGCGCATGAGAGCCAGCACAGCAGTCTCTCTCTCTCTCTCTCTCTCTCTCTCTCTCTCTCTCTCTCATCTTGCGAGCGCGCGTGTGCTACTTCTCGTCTCCTCCCTTTTCGTGTACGATTCCTCACAAGAGGTTGCTGGTTCATGGCTGTCACGGCCCCAATGGTGAGAGGCTAGTCTGGACCTACACGAGCGCGCAACAGAGCTAGCTCATTTTTCACTTCGTTGGCAGAGAACGCCCGCAAGTGGCAAAATTCAGTCTCGAATGAAACAACGACAAGTCGTATCGAATTGGTAAATGTTTTTGGTTCTTCTAAGTCGTATTTCCGCTCACTCTGTCGAACCGTGGACGTGAGTTTTTGTGAACTGTAGTCGGCAAGGTTAGACTATTAGTCATGCTTGATGGACTTTCGAAGGCTTCTATTGTCCACCGGCGGACATGTAGACTATACGAAAGGACTTGTCGTCACCCCATTCCCCAATCATGACAGAGGCAGGCTCAGGGGCATTCATCGCTCTGGGAATGAACAACATATTGGCATGTGGTACTGTAAGCGTAGACCAGATGATACTCCCGAATCAAATGCCAACAACGGCATGTAAACAACGATACGTTGCGTAGTCCGGCATGGTGTGCAAATACGGGAATACTTTGTGCGCGTGTATAATCGAGGCCGCTGTTGCCTGCTACCTATGGTATCGGTTAGGAGGATCCCGACTACTCAAGAACGATGCTGAGCAAGCTCAGCAAGCAGCAGCACCTCGTCCTGCGAGAGCTCGAGCGAACAAAACGCCGCCTGCGGGAAGAGGTCTGGGCAAGAGAGGAAAAGACTACCAAGCACACCGCCCAACCGACGGATCCAGGGGACCCGTACACTTCGTGGTCGAGCTACCAAGCACGAGGCAGCAACGTTACCAGGCCTTCAAACAACGCTCCGGCGTCACCGTCGAAATGTTCGAGCAACGAGCGGTCGGCGCAGATGACCGGTGCCAGAGCAGGACCAAACACCAGAGACGGTGCTCGCCTGAAAAGAAGCAGGACTGAAGCCGGGATGAGCCCTGTGGATGGTGGCGGTGCCGGTGCAGACAAAGCGAGATCGATGAAGCTGGGGGGGAAGAACCGATCACCTTGCCCTCCCACGAGGATAGACATGCTGCCCGTCATGGCCTCCACTGGTGATTTACGTACAGAACCCTCAAGCTGATGAAAGGGGCAATGTTCATACACCTTATTTTTTGTGTAAGGTTGCTATTAATTGACCGCCTTACAGAACGGGCCCGCAATAATTAAGAAACATTCTGTTAAGAAAAAAAGGCTCAGACGTTTACGAGAAACAAGAAAAAAGGGCCAAGAAACACAGCTCAATGACGGCCACAACATAAGAAACGTCCCAGTAAGAAACATGATCGTGCGATACCCCCACAAAATAGGGGGAGGGTGTCCGATAAGAAACGTCTCACTGCTGCTGCTGCCATTCCCACCCCCTACCTAGCTCATGTAATTTATTGGTAGGGGCAGAGAGTGGTTATTTTCGCGGCACCCCCCACGCCCCAGCGCCGCCGCGGGCTGCGCTACCCACTGTTGCTGTACTGCTGTACTGCGACAATCCCCGATGTTCGCCTCACCAAGCTGTCCGTTTAATGCTGCATGATAAAGGCTTGGTGTTTTGTTTTCTTCGCCACAAATAAGAAATAAGAAAATAAGAGAATCAGCAGGATGCGACAGCCCGAGGGGAATATGAAATCCGTCTTGAGAAATTGGCCGACTTCAGCCGGCCCTTCTGCCCAACATAAGAAATTGAGGCTCCACCCGATTTTGATGTTTCTTTATCTCCGCACCCGTTCTGTATCGTAGTGGGATAACTGCCACCATATTTTGATGAACGCGTCGTTTACCACAACCTAGTACGAGCTACGCGTGTAGACCAATCTTCAACAGGCCCAGCACACATCTGCATCTCTACCCAGGTGAGTTGGCCTTGGAAGTCGGCCTTTCGAGCTTCCCCGTGGGCGACACGGGCTGGACCGTTCAGGACCGCCAGACAGGACAAGAGCCACAAAGTCAAGACAACCAACAGGCTCATATGCTCCCCGTGTTTCGCCTTCCGGAGGTTAGCAAGAACCCGGCGGGAGGGTTCGTGAGACGCCTACCTCGAGAAGAGACCGAGCGCGAGCGGGAGTGCCGTGTCAAAGAGGCGGAGGAGCTAGACAAAATGAAGACAGCGCTAGGCCTGACGGACAGAGAGCTCGAAGCCCTGGAAGACGAGTTGTTGCCCGGAAAGCACCGAGGAGGGAAGGACCCGGCAGTGTCGAGGCCGCTGAACGACGTCAGCAATCGTGACAGTCTAGCCCTAGAGAAGGATCCCCAAGAACTGCTGTATGGCCCAGACTCTGCTATCATAGCCAAGCAGCAGCTGCAGCCGCCGCCGCAAGACACGTGGTCTACTTTCTCCCGCGGGGGCAAGCGAAGACGGGGCGGTGGCGGGCGGCGGGCAGCAGACACACGGCCAGAACGACACAGAAACGGCTTGTCACCAACCGGCGACGGCACCACCGTCTTGGACCTTCCTACCCCAAGAGTGCTTCGTCGAACGCCTCACTCCACCCTCGGGGCCGAGCTCGCCGCATCAGCCGCTCTGTCGGTAAGACGCACCGGCGAAGGGAAAAAGACGGGGGCGTGGACGTCGACAGGCGACCTTGGTGGTGGAATTGCTTCAGGATCTATCCTCGGCACGACCGTGTCGACTGAGCGACTCGTCGTGGCGGCTGCAGACGCGGGCATGGTCAATCTTTTGGAGCTCCGGAGGGAGCTAGGGCGCAGCGTTGGACAGGTGAGGAATAGGGCTAGTCGGGGACAATGAGTACATGAAAGAGTTGTAAATGGGAGCAAAATGACATATCTCAAGCGGTGTACAACATGAAACGTTTCCTATTGTATTGCATGGACACACGGACCGAGAAATTCCGTTCGATAGGAGGGCCGTTCAATTTTCTTTTTTTGCTACAACCCCCGCAGGTGCGGTGTCTCGCGAGGGCAGTCAAGCTTGACGTTCAAGAAGTCACGCGCCTCTGCCCGGTGCAGCACCCACGCGCGGTACGCTTCCTCCGCCGGTGGGCGTGCGAGCGGCTCGCCATCCTCGCGGACGAGATCCTCGTCTCTCGCGCCGCCGCCGCCCTGGAACGCTGGCGAAGAGCGTCGGCCGCAATTGCGATGGCAGAGCGCAAGGAGGCCTACCTCCGGTACCAGGGGAGCAGCAAGCTGCTGTTTTCATTGGACAAGGCGTACCTGCGCCGGCTGGCCAAGGGTTGGGTCCAGTGGGGAGCCTTCGTGGAGGCCGAGCGCGCGAGGGAGCGCCGCCTCCTCGAGTATTCGGCCGCAATTTTGATCCAGCGGGCAGTGCGAGGCTTCCAGGCGCGGCGCTTGCGCGCCTGGCTGAAGATGGTGGCCCAAGATAAACAACGCCACCTGGCCGCGGTCACGATCACGCGATACGCAAAGGGCAAGGTGGCGAGGGTGCGGTACGCGCGCCTCAAGGCCGGAATCGAGAGAGTAAGAGCCGGGGAGTTGCTGAGGCGCGTAGGGCGCGGGATGATTGGCAGGAGGAAGGGCAAGAGGTTGAGAGAGGACAGGGCGCGCTGGAAGGTGAGTGTGTATGAGAACCACCGCGACCCGGCCCGGTCAGAGGCCAAGACTTGGTTTTTCCCAACACGCAAGGGACAACGAAGTCCAAGTCTGCCGTTCGACAGGTTGCTCTTCTGACAGCACACGTACCTCGTGATGCTCCATTCCAACATGAATCGGCCTTAGCTAGAGGTATTATTCTTTCTCTGCTGTTTCTGTTTCTGTCCCACTAGTTCTCCATCACTCCCTCTCTAACCGGAACCAAAACATCCAAGAAGTTGTTATTTTCAGCGCCCCTGCAAGTGTTGAGACAATATGCCCATCGGAAACAATGTTTCCCACAAAACCTCGGTGGCACGCGCTCTCAAGTCATCCGTGTTCGTTCGATCCCAGACCATGTGGAGAACACCGTACTTCGCGGTTGAACGTACCTCAGGTAGCACTGAGTCTGCAGAGACTTTGCCGTGGAAGAGTCGGCCGGCGACTGTTCTTGTCCATCACCAAGGCCAGAAGAGAGCGCCTCGCGGCGACGAAGATACAAGCAATCACCCGGGGAAAGTGGGGCAGGCAACAGGCCGGAAGGTGAACAGGCGTGCCTACGGATGAACCTTCTAGCACTACTATGTATCGAACAGAGGGAGTTGTTAAGCGAGGGTGCGTTTCCCACCGCATTTACCACTCTTCTCCCCAGCAGCAGCCGCTGCCTATTTCTACGAATTTCCTACTCGGTTCCTCTAAGAGATCGCTAGCAATTTGCTCTTTTGAGCGCAAAGTAGGGCTGGAGCACTAATACTTCTTTGTGAGACCTACGACGCAAGCGAGCATTCCATATAAAGCGGCGTTGTCATCATCGTTTACTCGTTCTCTGTTCAACAAAAATCGTGCCTTATCGGCTGCCGGATCTTTGGCGTACCGCCAACCTCTGTTCGGTCTCCACACATGTGCGGAACAACGTGCCTGCAGCCTTGTCCGAAGGATCCGCGAGGACGCTGCGGCGCAACAGATCCAGCGCGCCGCGCGGGCATGGCTAGCTCGGCGACTCGTGCGGAGGTTGCGCGAAGAGGAGCAAAGGTTGCGTGCCATCCGCTCGATCGCGACCCTCAACATCCAGGTGGGAAGGAGACGTGTTTCTGTTCGTCTCCTCTGAGTCGCCGTCAGAGGGGAACAGCGAGATTCGTAGTTTCTTGGCCGATGTCGAGCCGCTGAATACTGAGACAAAAAATGTCGGCCTCCTCCGTCACAGATCTCTGTACACCCAGCGAGCACCACGCCATCAGACGTCCTTCTATTCTCTTCGAGATTGTTGTCAACGCTTTCCGGCTTTGGCTAGCTCGTCATGTACAAATAATTGGCACCTTTTGACACTGCCAGCGATCGTGTCTGCCCATTGGAAGAAGAAGAAGAGAGATTGTTGCTCTGTTTAACAAGACATACCGCAACAGCACCAGCGCGTCGGCTGACGTTCTACTGGTCGTCTATGTTGATTTCGCCACATGGGGTTTTTGTCGGGGGCGTGGCGTCTGACCTTTCATCTTCAGTGAGAAACAATGTTTCCTGTTTCAACGCCTTTGAAGGTGATGGTGAACTGCTGTGTTCAGGAAGCACGCCCCGCGGCGGAAAGACAGGCCATGCGATAGGCCTATGCACCAGAAATTGACATGGCTGACCTCCTTCCAAACGTCTACCTGTCTCATCTAGTTGTCCGCCTGTCTGCCTGTCTGTCTGTCTGTCCGCGAAAACAACCATCTGTCTATCCGCGAAAACGACCATCGTCCGGATGTCCTGCAGAGGGTTTACCGCGGGCACAGGACGAGGGTGCTGCACGGGGCAAGGCTGGAGATGAAGCGGTCGCGCCTGCGAGGGGAAGACGCGGCCGCGACGAAGATTCAGGTGTGAGTAGGAAGAGGGGGGAAAGGGAAGTACTTACGACATTTTTTTGTCGAAAGTGCTCCCAATGTCGTCTCAACCGAGAGTAGAACGAGCTCGAGTACGGGGAGTACGGCGGTAGAAAATTCTGCGATCAAAGCCAATCCTTTGTTGTCGATCAATGATCGCCGAGGGGAAGTCGTGCTCGCGTTCAAAGGTTTATGGTAGGACATGGCTAGGGATGCCGTTAGGGCGTTGGATTTCGCAGTCGTGCCTCGGCGGCAGAACCAGTGTTCGATGGAAAGCAAAGGTAGCAGACGAAAGACTGAGGGCTGGGTGGTTTATTGGGTCGAAATCCTTGCTTGCTCGGTCCCCTTTCCTCCCCCCGCTGGCTTAGAGCGTGCCCACCCAGCCATAGATTTGTTTTCAGTGGCTGGCTTTTGTTGATGCGGTCCACGTTCTTGAAGAAACCCTGTAACGCACACGCCCACATACACGAGCCCCGTCACATTTGTCCCACCGATGGCATGACATGGCTGCAGGCCCTCGTGCGCGCGCACCTCTCGAAGCGAACCGTTGCCAAGTTGTCCAAGAAGAGGAAGGAGAAGCGGATCAGCGACGCCCGCCTCTGGACGGAGACGTGGAGCGAGGATGCTCAAATGTGGTTCTACCACAACGCTACGACAGGCAAGAGAATGAAGGCAGTACTGCTGTGGTGCCGCTCAGGCAGGACAACGCGCTGCGGCCGCCACTAGTACAGTAGGTTGGGGAGGAGAAGGGGGGTGAGGCTACAGTAGTCTGTTGACCCAGGTTGCTGACGGCAAGCAGGTGTTCAGCCGCAGTCCCCGAAGAGTTTCACACTCGCCGAAACGATCTCCCGGTAGCGGGGGGGGGGCGGGGGGGGGTCGTGGACATGACGAGCGAGAGCCTTCGATACGAATGTCTCCAGCGCAAAGGAAGCAGCTGTTGTCGCATGCATCAATGACCACTTCCTGTGCTCAAGAAGAACAGTGACCACCCCAAAACAACCTTCGCACTGCCTATTATCCTGCAGGGGAGGCGTTGTGGGAGCCCCCCAGCACCGGCTACACGAAGCACGACGGGGCGCTGGTCCTCTCGTCGGGGGAGGTTGTAACGGATCCGGAGGAAGGTGGGTGGTTGTACATAGCAATGATGATCGTCTCGCTTGCGGATCGTGGCAGAGGCGTACATCGTGGAAGCGGTACAGATCATGAAAGCGGTGCAGATCGTGGTAGCGGTGCAGATTGTGGAAGCGAGTCTGCTATTTGTAGCGATAGAACGAAAGAGGCGCTCGAGACGCTCGTAGAAGTGATGCTCCGACTCAGCGTAGTCGCGAGGAAGTCCAAAAGTTCCTATGTGTATGTGCTCTTGCTGTGCCCCCCTCGATGAAAAGGTTGAGCAAGAGGGCGGTTGTGAAGCACGAGCAGATTGTTAGCCCTGTCAGCCACACCTTGCCCCATATCCAACCAACAGAGTCATTTGCCAGCGAGCCCAAACGACTCGATGCATGCGCGCGCTGCCGCTTTTTTTCCCCTGTCTCCCGAACGTAGACTATCCATTCCTCTTGACACTGCTCTCGCCGTTGTCTGGCTCTCTTCACGATCGTCTCTGAAAAACGTGCCAGGGATGACGGAGGAAGAGCGGCTAGAGGCGAGGAAGCAGTCGAGCTGCGTGGAGTGCGAGCAGAAGAGGTCGACGAGGAAGTGCGACCAGTGCGGCGATGGCTTCTGCACGAAGTGCTTCCGAAAGACGCACGCCACCGGCCGCCGAACCAAGCACACCTGGACGCACGTGGGGCCCATGGAGTGCGCCGAGTGCGAGGCGGAGGTAAAGGGTGGTGTGTGTAGAATTTAAAACAGGAACAGTTAGGGAAACGGTGTTGTAGGTGTTGTTGATTCCACGCTGGGATGCTGGGATGCTGGGATGCACAAGGTTTCGGCCGGTCTGGCGTGGTTGGAAGTATGCAGTGCTGGTCGATCCATCAGCGGAAAGCGGCAATGGACACACGGCGGACGAAACTACGAACTGTCTCACTTGACGATTTTTCCGACAAAACGATGCGCACGAAGGTTCGCATAGTTCGCCTCTCCCCCCCCCTCCCCCCCCAAGCTTTCTCAACGACCGAAGGACATCAACCTTCAACCGCCTCTTTGCTCGGCCAACTAACTGACCAGGTGGCCATAAAGTGGTGCACCGCTTGCGACGACCCCTTCTGCGCACCCTGCTGGTCCGTCATCCACTCCCGCGGGAAGCGTAGCCTGCACAGCCACTGCACCATCTCCCCGGGGGGGCGCGTGTCCACCAAAGCCATCGCTCCAGACGGCACGGACGCCGGCCCGTTCACTCCGGGGGAGAGCCTCGTGGCCGAAATTGCGGGAGCCGGCGCCGGCGATGGTGCACTAGCGGAGCAAGGGTACGACGCGACCGCTGCCGCGCCGCTTGTTGAGACGAATCCGGCGCAGTCGGTGAGTGATCCGATGAGGTGTAAAGGGGTAGACTTTGCCAACTTTATTTGTTTTTGCTATGGGCGCTGTCGTGTATCCCGCCGGCGTTGAGCTGTCCCCAAGCACCGCCCCGTTTTTTTGCTACGACTGATAGTGTTGAGCCGCTTGAGCGGGAACGTCCGTGGGTGCCACAAAGCGCGAGACAATAAGAACCTGGAACCCGAACGCACGCGGTTATTGTCTACCGCACTTTTTTCTTTTCGTGTTTGAGATTTCCGACGAGACATGGGGCGCGAAAAAACAGCAGTGCGTGGCGGCGTGCGTGCAAGGAAGCTGATGGCGTTGAGACGACATCCCCACAAACATGAGGTTCGTGCAACAGTTCCAATCTCGCCGACCTTGGTCCCGGTTTCTCGCGCACGCTCGCACGCGATGATGGCAGCAGGACTGCTGGCAGGAGTACACCGACGACGCGGGCAACCCGTACTGGTACAACTCGGCGAGCGGCTCCTCTCAATACGAGAACCCTCTGGGCGGCGGGCCGGTGTGGACCGGGGGATCCATTACCACGAACAGCTCGACCATCGAAAACGGTGGGAATGGTGAGTCACGCAAAGAGCGACACCAAGACCGGACGAGTAGGACAAACGCCAGGAGGTGACATGAGTATATAGGAGTTACACCCACCCGTAGGTGTTTTTTTCTTTGCCGGTGCGCGAGCTTCCGTCCGCCCTGCCTCTAGACGACGGGACACGTAGAAGTATATGGCAAAGCCAACAAATGCGGCAATAAATAGAGTAGATTGTGACTGCGGGAGTCTCAGCGAAATATTTTTCTTCTGTGGCTCGTCTTCCGCACCATCCTATGTTTTTTTTTCGCGAATGTATTCAGAATCTCAAGCGTGAACGAAACAGGTTCCGTAACCAAAGCAGCAAAAGACTCGGTGTTCTGTTGAAACCGGGGAGCTTGAAGCCGTGGTTTAAGACGATACTCGAAGTCAGCTTAAATTCTTTGCGATAGGGACGGTTTTCATTCTAGAGGTTCGCTCGCATCCCAGCAGCGTCGAATCTCGCTTGAAAAACACGCACGTTTGGTGGCATCGTGCTTGTTAGAGCGGGAAACATCGGCAACGAAGCTAGAGTTGGTGTATGTCTTTCAGAGGGCAGTCGGGTACGACGACAGCACTGCCTGCGCTGTGGGACGCAAACGTTTTCGCACTTCTGGCGTCGTACATAGAAGTACGGCACCTGCCGACGCCCTTTTACCTACTGACGAGAGAATCTCCAAGACCTTCTCGTAGAACCCGCCTTAGTCTACACTACACTACACTACATATACAGGTATCTGACAAGCTTCGCGGAACTATCTGTATTTCTTACCACTCCCTGCCAGCGTGATCGTGCACACGCAACCGATATTTTCGCGCATGTCACCGTAGAGCCGTGCACGAAAAGAACGTAAACCGCATGGTAGTCCTTGATCATGGATGTGCATCTGTCTCGCTGTGTAACGCCAAGCTCTCGTTTGCGTGTGTAACAACGTGGCCAGCTGCCGGTGGACAAGAGTGGGATACAGCACAGCAGGTGAGATTGTGCCGCGCTATGGCTAGAAGCGTTTTGAAACTATTTCCCTAACAAGAGCCGTTGATCCTGTCCCTTCGGACGGGCAGGCGACGAAACCGTCACGGCAAGAGCGGTCGTGTCCGAGGAGCTGCTTGTTCCTTAGGACGTAGGATAGGTTTTTCAGACCAGGTCTAGTTCACGTTGGAGGAAACGCAAGCAAATGCTGCAGATATGTCATCGCTTCGACAGAGTGAGGTGCCCGCCTTCTTCCAAGGTCACCTGGCCCATGCTTAAAACCGTATAATTGGGGGAAAACGTAACGAACGGCTGTATATGCAGCAAGAAGTAGTCCCACACAGAAACTGCGGCTGGTCGTGAGAACGACTTCTTTCTCGTACCCCTACATGCGCCGCGCGATTAAGATGTATTTTTTCGGTTGTCGTTCCACCCCGCGCTGCGAGCAACTCACACACGAGGCCCTGCGACGTGGACCGACCCGCCGAGCCGTGTGCGCCACAGACACCGGAGAGCTACCACGTTCCGTGCCCGTCGACTAACCCCTTCGTTCTCTCGTATGCAGGCGGAGAATAGTGGCTACTCCGACCCCGATTCGAGAGCCATGGTGACCGCGCACGGGTCGGCGGGGGAATGGAGCGAGCATGCGGACGACGAAGGGCACGTGTACTACTACAACGCCCTTACGGGCGAGAGTCAGTACGAGTCCCCGTACTAGCATTCTTCAGCGTCACTACAACTGCAATGGGAGGCCTGTCGACCCCCTGAGGGGTTGGACTGCCATCACGCGTGCCGACAAGATCCAGTTTGCATGTGTGACTGGCACTGGTGACCAAATTGTTTCTGACAAGATTCGGCGCTTGAAAAATATGGTAGTACCAGCTTCCAGTTCTTAAGGTGTGGTGCTGAACGAGGTGGTCGTGTGTACCAGGCGTGAGGCAATCGCGAATACATCAGGGTGCGCATACTACAATGCACGCGTGGACCACGCGGTGCGTACATAGCCCGCTCGCCCGCACACATAGTCTAGGCTATTTCGAAAATTGCTGTCGGAGGGATACACCAGCTGGTGTGATATTGGTGGGTTGTTTTTCCGGCCGACTGGGAACCAGGCTCTGCCTGCTCCCCACCCTCCTCTCACGTGGCGCCGCCGAAGATCGGAGCATGATGTCGCCCGTGGCACAGCAATATTGTGGGTGTGTGTGGACACACAAAGCAGGCTTGCTTTGATTGTGTTTGTCAAAACCGCGCGATGCTTATTGGTTCACTTACGTACACCCCCGCGCGTCACCGCGTTCTTTTGACGCAAATCATTCACTTATGTAGTATTTACATATGAACATATCCACCACCCGACCCTTCGGAAAAAATAAACCCAACTACGCTTCATGGTGTCCTGCGTCCGAATAGAATATACATTCTACAAAGAAAGCAATGGAAAGCAGCGCCAAACGTTCGAGTAGTACAGATAGCACAGAGATGCGTCTTTGATATAGACAAAAACTTAATTGCATCAGAAACGTACCACGACAACGTCGACACGTCGAGAAAAACAACAGTCGAACACCCCCCCTCCTCTAAAAAATAAATGCAGAGAGTAAAACGGGACGAATCGTACCAAGAACGCCAACCAGCTACTTGTTTTCTCGCCATTTCCTGAAGCCGCAAGAATGCTAGCTTAACCTCGAGGTACTTCCAATCGCGTGACCGACTTGATTAACGTAAACATCGCCTTGAGTGCAGTATGCGAAGTCTCTCTTGCTTATCACTTAACCGTCCCCATCAACCTACTGTATCTACATTCATTCTTGGCATGTTCATCCGTTGACAACCACTCTAAAACGCGGGGGATTATCCTAAAACTACACAGCCAGATGGATCAATTCACCAAAATCATAAAACATGGTTCACACTTACTTACAAGTGAAAATATCGAGAGTGAAAGGCACGCCTGCATCACGACATGGTGCGATTGCTAAAAAACGTGGGGGGCGCACGAATGTACCTACCCGTAAGCGTCACACAATGATGAGCGAAACCTCTAGCGCTCTCTTGGTAAACTAAAATCATTCAAGCCCGGACCGAAAATAAATTACTATTGGTGTGTTAAGCGTGGACAATAGTATTCCGATCCCTAGCCTGGCGATTGCTTCGCGGACGCAGTCACGAGACTAAATAGAGACTTAAAAGTCCTGAAAAACCAAATCTGGGTGCCGTGCTGTACATTGGTACATAGAGGTGCCCAACCCCCCCCCCCGGAAGATGCCTCGAATATTTACGTCAAGTAAGTGTTGACGGGCAATACACTTACTTTTTCGCCGAGGACAGAAACAATAAGAACAGAAAGGACTTTGAACATGGTAGGAAAGGTCCTTATGGCCTCCCGCTGTACAACAAGCGCTTTTCCCCGAGGAACCATCGCTTGCTCGGTGCTTGTTCGCCCCCTTTCGATGATCTCTACCGACAACCACACGATCACCCATTTGCGAGCTCCCAGGGGGGATGCACCTACTGGGTGGTGCATCGAGGCTCAAGAAAGGAGGGGGTTAGGGCTTACCAAATGACGTAATCACCTTTCGAGCCGCTTTGCCGCGAGCTTTGTCCCTGATGGGTTGAAGTGCACGAGTCGCTTTGTCAGCAACATACAGTGCTGCCACTGCTTGGGCGGCAGAGAAAAATGTGTCTCTCTTTCTATAGGTCGGCTCTCCCATGTGTAGTGGCCCTCCCATGTGTGCGTGTAGCGCCGGCAACCCCATCTCTGCAGGCGCAGGTCCCATAGGTGCGAGATGCGTCGGATAGCTCATCATGGGGTTGGGGTAGGAATCCGGAAGTTGGTACGTAGCCTGTCCGGTGTGCGTGTTTATCCTGAGCGAAACGAAGAAAGGACCAAGGGTGGCAGGTAGGACGGGAGTTGGTAAATACGATTGACACGGTGCAGCAGACGTGCTCGATCTTCTTGAACTCTGCGGTGGGAAAGATTGATTGAGAGCTCCGCTCTCTTACTTGTATTTCACACTACAATCTCGGAGAAGGAACATGGGCCCGCGTCCCTCAATAGAAATATCGCCAACAGGTGTTGAATTTGGTTTACATGAATCACTCGTCAAGATTGATTCACTGCTGCAAGGCATGGCTCGCTTTTTTGGCGGCCTAGAAAACAGAAAACGCGGACGAATAGTAGTTAGTGTATCTCTCGCTATTAGTGTGTCTCTCGTTCCATAGGTTCTAATCGCCAAGATGGACAAGGGAATGGCCTAACCTGCGCAGGTACCCACCAGTATAGAAAGCCGTTCTGATCGACAGCCTGTTGCCACACGTTCGTTGGGTCGTATGCGTAGCTACTCATCGTCGAGGTCCGGGAACGCCCTGCTCGAGTCAACGTTTAATGTAGCCGCGGCAACCGGCAGCACGCGAGAGGGCATTATAAGGGTGGGTCTGGTGGTGTACGCACATCGATGGGCAACCATACAGCAACCTGTAAACAGATGAAGTATAAACATCTCACAACATCAGAGTGTTAAATGCAGGCACCAATTCTGCCCGACAAGCTTATAGTTAACGGTTTACAACAAGAACAGAAGTTCTCCACACGAAGAGCACGTTGCCCTGTTGAACAAAGGACGTGCGTCTCCAAAAACTAAGAACTTCCGGAGATGGTAGAAAATCAATCCAACCCGAGGAACGTTCCGATGTCCATGATGGCACGCTCTGCCTGGAAAATCCAAGAATTCCCCACCTACCGCTGCAGCCTGACAGCCTGACATACCGATAAGATCAGCCACCCTCGGTAAAACCTCGCTACATGCACACATACATATATGCATCACGACAGGAATTGCGCCTCCGCTGGGTCGGTTGAAATACTCCCCTAGGTGACGTTGGATGTTGACATCGGAGGTAACGGTTCCAATTCCAAACAGCAGTAGACTACTGTACTATGCATGCATGCACTGTTGGCGTTCGACGAAAGTGTTGAGAGCAAGCCCTTTGCTGCAGATGGACGACGGCAAACCCAGAACAAACTCGGAAAAGGGAACGGTCTTGTGACACCTTGATAGCAAAGACAGAGAGAGGTCAAGACCAACGCCGCGACGGTACAGGTATAGCAGTAGATAGGCGAAGCAAGCATGCACAAAGAGCGTCCCCTACAGACACTCACTAGAGAAATAAATTGGTGTGATGTTTCGGGGATGGAGCGGGAGGCTCGACACAGCAGGGAAGGAACCAGCATACATATACACACATCATCGAGCTGCTCCCCCGCGCACGCTTCTTCATTGCTCACCTTTTCTTTCGCTTGTATGTTGTTTGCACACGTAGCCCACAACTCTCCGTGTGTTGTCTTTTCTTCTTGATCTCCTCGTCGTGGAGACAAAAGGGCCACGATCTGTAGTAGCTGGTAAGGTCTAGGCTTCAGAAACGGTTATAAACTACTGGATGAAGCGGCTTGGACCACGGACTGGACTTAGCGGTTGGCTTGCGATTGCGGGAACAATCTTCAACTTGGGGTTTATACAGGGTTAGACTTCGCGAGGTCGGGGGTTGTACAATCAATGTAGGGGGTGTGGGCGTTGTTTTGCCACGGCCCAGGCCACTGCAGTGAGGAGAAATCCCCGGATCGGTACGCCACTTCCGTTTTTTTGCGTCATATAAAATAAGGGTCTGAAACGCGAGGAACGATCTGCGCACGAACATGTATGTACCCCGGATTATTCTTCGCATGCCAAAAAGATGCGAAAGTTGTTGTGGCCCCCCAGCATTTAGGAGCGTGGGTGTTCTTCTGGAAGACCCAGATGGCGCTGTTATAGAAGTGTGTATGCATCTCCTTTTACGTTCGCGTAATCTATTTTCAGAGTCTGCTCATGTAGATGGCAAAGGTGTCGGTCGGGATGTCTAGGGATATCGGGGTATCTACTATCTACCCTGGAACGCTGTAACGCACGCGGAGGAATCGCTGCCTGTCTGTCTGGTCCGTGAGCCCGCGGAATGCTCAAACTCAACTTCCCTAGGGACATATGCATCCACATGAAATGCCATCCAGGGCCCCCCCTCTGCTCGTTCTCGAGGTCAGACACCAAACTTCTGACTTGACTTGCCAGTTGCCTACCCTGCAGCAAGATAACGATGGCTTCTTCTCGTTTCGGCCTCGTGTGCCTCGGAGCTTTTATTTTCTCCGGTACCCAAGCTTTTGGTGTGCTCCAGAGCAGAGGAATCGTAACATCAAGTTTTGCTCCTGCCAGATCTCTTGCTTCTCCAACAAGGGGTGAGTGCGTCGATGCGTGAGCCCGACCCATGCCCAGTTGCCCTTTCCCCTCTGGTAGCTCATCTCCGCCGTGCCTTGCGGAGCGTTCGTCAATCGAACGTCCTGCGTTGCATGGTAGATCTTTCGCTGTCTTGCGCGCCGCCGCCGTGCTGGGTGCTGGTTTGTCTTTGAATCGCCACGTCTTCGACACACAGCAGAGCATCATACTCTCACGTTGTGAAGGAACATCTGACCCAGAGAAATACCATGGTAGCGACCTGTGCTGCTGTGAGCTCCGTCAAGACCACGCTGTGTACCCGCCCCCCCCTCCACCCGCCCCGCCCCCCGCGGTCTGTTCAACACCAACTAGGACGGTCGGCGCCTGGACACCGCCGCTCGCTTTCTATGGAAGGGGTAAACCCCCGCGAGGACGCGGATTTCGAAGTGAGTTTTGAAAAATTCCGGAAAAAAACACCACACATCACACGGGAGGTTCCGAAATTACTTGTAGTCAAGGTAGTGCACCTCAACCCCCTTCCCGACTCCAGAAAACTCGAGTCGCTGATCTCCAAAACGCCTGCCTCCCACAGCAGTCTGTTGCCTGCTTGCGTTTAGACATGCAGCAGTGCTGATTTGTTTTGTGGCGAAGCTCTGTTTTCACGTTTACTGTCAGGGGTCAGTTTGAAATGTTGTCTTGTTTTCCTTCCGCCTCGACTTGAAGTTAGGGCCTCCGAACTTCCTACAGTACTTTATTACAGTGTACGATAAATAGTTGCGTTTCATCGTGGTACTTCTTTAGGTTGCACGATGGCTGCCGTCGACATCTTCCAGTCCAGAAGACACCCAGCTGTTGTTATAGCGGACGTGCCACCAGTTGAGCACAGCTCTCAGTGTTTCCAAAGGCAGAGCACACCTAGTTCCTGCTGTCCTTCTCCGCGGCGTATGACGTGTACTACCCGGCGGGGATGCTGGAGATGTTTGCGTCCTTTCTTTTTCTTTGAAAAGTAAACAAAATCTCACGGCAAGACCGTTCGAGATATAACCTACTGTAGTCGAAAGGGACGTGCTGAAGTATTTTCAGTGAGTGGAGGGGAACCCGCTGGAAACTGGGCTTATTTTAGTTTGTTAAAGCTTGCACACTATTTGCGTACACCGAATTGTATCAGTGATGCCAGCTGGTGCGAAGAACAAAAGCATCTGCATAGTTTTTTGTTTTGAGTCTTCAGGCGTTCTCACTGATCATTGATTGATCATTTGCAAGTGCTGGTGTAGTGGCAAGTCGTGGAGTTGCCGCCCTGCAGCCCTTCGCGCCGTGTATTGGCAAGTCCATAGGTGTGTCTAGATTATTAGCACCCGCGCTAACCAGCTGACCAATGAAGAGACGTCAGTGACAGCGGGAATGGGGCCAATCAATATGCCAAATCATGAATCTCTCAACGTATGTACATGAACGCGTGTGTGCATACATACAAACATACATATGTGTTCTTTCGCAGCACCACACATACATTCGCCCGAACGTAGGAAGCCACTGCTGCAAAGAGCAGAGGGCAGCAAAAGGGAGGGGTATTGCAAGCCCTGCCGGAGCCCCGATATCGAGGACATCGTGGTTCCCAACAATTTGAAAATCGTTCCCAAGATTCAGCAGTCATTGTGTCAGCAGCTACAACGAATGCTACAACAATACTTCTACTACTGCTGTAGACGAGTAAAACATATCAGCAACACATCCAAACTCGTAGCGCCACACATACCACCCTCGCCCGAACCTAGGAAACCACGAGGTACGGGTGTGTGCGGGTGGATGTGCTTGTTTGAAAAATGAAGGAGCTCTAGAGAGCTGGCAGGGCACATTTCGGGGGGGAACAGAGAACAGAGAAGTACAGAAGTACAAATACCAGCTATGGGTCTTCACTGATCATTTTGCCCTCTCTGGACTGATCATTTACAATATACCGAAAATAGACTAGTTGAGGCAGCTAGACGACTGATCATTTCAAAGTCTACACAGCTAACCTGCCCTACTGACCGCAGCGCGACCACCCATCAACCCTTCTACGACCCTGTCTGTGGCCACCACCCTGTCGCCGGCTTCCCTCATGGCCTACAGGTGGAGATAGCTGTTTCGTGTGCAGAAGTACACTGGTGTCTTTCTCTGCACTTCTCTCCCGCTCGCTCTCGCTCTCATTTTTTTTTTTTGGCGCAAAAAGAAAAATCTGACAGTCCAGCCTAGACCCAAAGGGGTTAAGAATATCGCCGACTTTTGTCCAACAAGAGCCGGAGTGCAGCACGACTTACTTTTCGGCAGGCACCTTTGCGCCTGTGCGTGAACACACGCGTTGCCCGGCGTGTCGGTAGCACTGGAGAGTTCTCCTGCCTCTCTCTCATGGCATGATGCTGGGTGTAGATGCACGCATGCGATTGGTTTGCTACAGCAGTACTGCTGTCTTGCGGGAGTACTGAGAGGGTTTCTGATCTCAATCCAAGGTATTTGGGAGGCCCGATATCGATATATCGAGTAACCACATACACCGGCTCAGCAGGTGTTGATGCTCGACGTTACTTCGGTAGAGGACATGGTGGAGCATGCGACGTGGGCGAGGGCGCGCCCAGATCTGTTCGTTTCTGCGGCCGCACGGTCGAAGGCTGCAAGTATTGCCAGGAAAATCCGCAAATGCGAGTCCATGTATACCATTCACGATCACCTGCTGTGCACCCGCAGTCCAGGAGACGGGGTGTGTGACGGCGCGTATTGCAGTGGATCGTGAATGGTATGGACCCAGACTTCTCGGACCGCAGCTGCAGCCTTTCTACAGCACGACCCCTGCACCAGATCCGGGCATGCTAACGTACATGTCGCTGCTCCATCATGTCCCCTTCCAACTTTGCATGGAACATCCCAACACTTTGGAACGCACATAACCCCGTTCAAGCACCCGCCGTGTCGCCTGTTCTGGCGCACAAAAGGCCGGCAAGACTCTGCAGGAATAGAGCAACATCCTCGAGATATTCGAAGTACGTCAGTTCAAAGCCCGGAATTGCTCTACTCCTTTATCCACCGCGTAGCTGACGTGAGTTCGTGCTCCTTGACAGTCCTCCCGCCAAGTATATAACTTGCGACACAGACTGATGTGCCGGGGGCTCATCGTGCGTCTCTTGTTAAGCACAGGGTGCGTGGTGGCGGGGGATCCACACAACAGGGGCCACCAAGCCAACTCCACCCCGCGGGTGTTTTGATTCGAGCGGTGCACGAGACCGACAGTCTAGCCCCGAGAGAGAAGTTCCTGGTGTTGTTATCGTGCTCGTAAACTCTCTCTCTCTCTCTCTCTCTCTCCCTTACAACTCGCCGCGTTCCCCCACTGGAGCAGATGACGGTCGACTGGGATGAAGAGCTTCGCAAGCTTAACGCGAGCCAGTACGGGAAGCGGCAGGAGCGCGACTTGACGAAGGACATGAACGATCCGGAGGCCGTCAAGTGGGCCAGGAAAAACGCGAAAATCGCTCAGTCCGCCATGGAGGACCGTACCAAACAGGTGATTGGTGATTGAGAGAGAGAAAACGACAACACCCAGAAACGTGCCAAGCGTGGAGATAGAGCGAGATCCCGGGAGTTGACCTTTCCCGCCGCTTCAATATGACGTTTTTTTGTGAATGTTTTCCCCTTGGGAGCGGTGCGTTTTCGGGAAAACTTCGGGAAGTTTCTGACCGTTAGGCGTTGAAGTTCTACACGTTTTCGTCACGGAGACCCCAGGAGCACGCAGAACGACTGCTCCTACAGATGCCGTCGTACATCGCCTCCCGTGGTTTAACCCTCTCGCTTGTGCTGGTGTGTGCCACATACACCTGTTTGGTTTTCGGTGTGTTGGGATTTCTTTGCCCACCCCGTCGCTCTCCAGGAAACCGTCAAACGTTTTGGTCCGCATCTCGGAGGTTTCGGTGTCACCGACGATGTGTTTACACCCCTGGGTCTACGAGGCCATCTCTGTCTTTCGGTGCCGGAGGCCCGTTGATCCCCACCTTAGTGTCTACCAGAGCACACCACCAGTGCGCCCTGTTCTTGGCCACAATACACTTTTTCTATGCCACTACTGCGTTCACGTGTTGCTCCTTCTCGTGTGCAGCACCCCGGCGCTCTGCAGTACCTCCTCGACCCATCTCTTTCCCCTTTTTCTCGTCCTCCCCGGTAGCGATGACGTATTTTGGTGCTGAGCCGACACACGCCCATTTCTGAGTTGAAACGCCATTTTTTGCCATGCCCGACGACTGAACTCCTCGTCCCTTTAAACTCACCCAGGTTCGGGGCGCCATGCGCAAGGCTCCCCGGTGGCAGACCCTGTCCCGCGACTACCGATTCTGGTTGGGGCTCGTGGTGGCCCTAAGCCTGGTGTCGTCCGTGATCAGCGCCTCCGGGAGATCCCACGACCTGGTGGTGTGGAACGACGTTCTCGGGAGCGAGCCGTTCGGGGAGGCGTTGTTCGCGCACGCCGCGTTGCTGGCCGCGACCACGGCGCACTCCGCTGGCGACGCGGCGACTCAGCTGGCGGAGACCGGGGCGGCGATGGTGTTTGCGTGAGGCACACGCGAGCGCACGCCCACGCGCACGCGCACGCGCAGAAGGGACAACTACTGCTGCTGCTGCTGTGAGGGTTTCGAATCCCCGGCAAAACCAGGCGGAGTGAACCGAGGGGGGGGGGGGGGATGGTGTGTGAAATGTCCACCGCGGTGCCCCCATGACGGTAGGGGGGAACGCAAACTGGAAGATTCCGGGGAGGCGACGCAGATCAATAACAGTGGACGTGTGCCCAGAGTGAGATGCGTGGGCGCGGCAATCGCCCGCCGTTAAGGGTCCAGAAAGTCCATGCCGGTGTTCTGATCCACCCATGTAAATAGGGAACGGGGGTAGGGTAGGCGGGGTACACCGTTTGTATGTGAGCGGGAGCGCTGACACGACCGCAGTCTTGCCTGGCGATTGGAACTTCCAAGGCCGATATAACGCGAGAGCGGTGTTCAGAGCAGCCCGTGTGGGCGAGAGGTGGGTGTGCGAGTGCGGCTTTCGGTTGCAGCGGGAGATTCGATGAGAAGAGAAGATCCGAGCATTGTATGTGGTGTGTGGGTGGCCGGTGAACTTGGAGACTGGAGGTCGCACCTTCCCGCGGAAGAGATGGGCAACGACACCACAGCAGCAGCAGCGGAGGTAGAATGTGCGTTTGTGCTGGTACCCAGCAGCCCCGCCAGCTTGTGGCTCGGCGTGGTAGTGTGAATTAATTAAGCAGATGTGATCATGTATGTGGGTTCACGCGAAGAGCGTGGTGAATCATCTGTACCTACGGGGAAGGTGGCTGCAGCCCTGCTTGAGTAGTAGGTGCGCGCCCGCGGGGGGGGGGGCACTTTTCGCCGCTTGAGTAGGACAGCCGACCATGTTCGCACAGGGGCCGTGCTAGGGTTGGTGATCTTTGGCAGTCTCTCGAAATCGTCACCCCGGAGTAGGGGGGGGGAGTGCACCAATTGTATTAAGTCGTCATGTCTGTATTGTAGTTCCGCCTCCGTTCGGTGTCGCGTATGATTCGGTCTTTTGTGCAGCGGTAAGGGGGTCACCGACACACGGGGAGGTGGGTGTGCGTGTACTCGCCGGATGATTCGGCAGTGCACCTTCTATTTGCAAACGACGACACAGTGGTGCCCATGTTTCGTAGTTAAGCTTGTCAAGAAAGACCGGGAAATCTCCTCTTTGTCCGCTGCGTTGTCGTGTTTGATGCATCGCACGAAGGGAGAAGTAGCGAAGCTCGTCTTTTGGATCGTTTTTTTTTTTTGTATACGCCGGGTGAGCTCTGGATTTCAGTGATTTTACCGTGGCTATGTTAGGGTCTCGCCTACGTTGGCGTCTCGACAAAACCAATTTTGAGGTTGAGGTTGTCCCCCGAACGACACTTTCGATCGGCTGACGCTTCGCCTCGTGCTGCCGTGTGGCGTAAGAATGTTTGACTGGTGCAACCCTTGTCCCTCAGAGTAGCACTTGGTGCAGGATGAGGACGGTAGAGTCACGAGCCAAGGGTGTGCGTGATTGGCCAAGACCAGGCTCCTTTCTATTGTCGCGAGCGTGCCGAACGACGACTTAGTTGAATTTGACGATGTTTGCATATCGCACTACCAGTGGCGGAGTAGTAAGCACTAAAGCAGCACGTGAGGCGGTCGGATAGGAGATGTCCAGGGACGTGTGTGGAGTCTGCTGACTCGTCCCCAAAGGGTTGAGTGCACACAATACTGTTCAAAACTACGTAAGACTGCGGTGCCGTGTGCACGTGAGCGTACAAAACGCGCACCCCGTAAGTTTGTGGAGGGCATGCATGACCACATGCATGGCGGTTGTCAAACACAAACGGTCAGCGTTAGCACGAGCCGGAGGATGTTCGCAACATATATCCCATTGATGAGCTGACCCTCTCTTCTGTCAGCTGCGAAGCCCTAGAACATCAAGGCAAGAAGCACCACCCAGAGATGCTACTTGTAAAGCTGGTTTACAACCCACGCCTAGAAAATCCAGCACGACCTCCAAGTTATCTTCCTCGTGTCGGCGCAACAAAAACCCAACAGAAAGACCAGAGAAAATTCGCCGCCCTCGTCCAGCAGCCGGCGCCTGGCTTGTTCACGACCGCTGTCCCTACTTCTTTTTTCCACCCCCCCATGGGCTAACGAACTCGACCTCGCCCGTGCGGGAGTTGATCTGCCTCTTCTTGATCTGTCTGAGCTGTTTCTTGCTCATCGTCTTCATCTTGTGCGTCTTCGATATCTGTCGACAACGAAAAAGGGCAGACATATATTCACAAGCAACAGGTGAGCAGTAGCAGCAGTGATGAGCAGAGAAGTAGCACTCCAAGCGGAAAAAATACTACATACACAGCCTGAACAGGGCGTAATCTTCGCCGTCCGTCACGACGCGACCGGGAGACCAGCTGTTCATAAGACTCTTCAGTAGAAAGGTTTGAAGCAACCTCGCGAAAGTGGGGCGTGACACCACCCCCGCCGCTTCTTGCTGCTGTTCTCGTGACTACGGTCAGCACGACGGGCGATCAATATTCTACATCCGCGTTTCGCCACTGGCCGTCGCGCTCTGTTAATCAGTTGGGGTTGCTGCATGTGTACGTATCGCACAACATAGCCGATTCTCACCGTCTGGTACGTGGTGTTCTTCATCTCGTTCTGCTGTCTCCGCTTTTCCCTTTCCAGCTTCTCTTGCTTCTTGTCCTGGCCGCACCAAAGTTGGGAGTGGCGGGAAGCACGCGCACAACAGACACCCCCACCGAACAGGCGTGTTTGCAGGATGGAAAAAGCTGTCAGCTTTCGGTATTCGCGTTCGCGTCGCCGCATACGACGACGACTTCAAAGAAGTTGATTCAAACAAGAGTGTGTTCTTGGTGCTTTCTAACGTACCAAGCGCCACGGAGATGACGCTCATGAAAATAACCTCAAATCTTCTGCAGTGCGGCGAAAGAACCATGTGCAACCTCCCTCTCGTCGTACGCATCAGTCCCTGAACGCCAAAGGCATGCAGACGGCGAGTGACTACGTAGAGATCCAGCGCAGCAACTGCAGTCAAGCGCCGCAACGTCACAAAAAGTAGTGTGATGCTGCGCTGAACTAAGGCGCGCGAACTGCTGCTAACATTGAATTTTTTTTGTACCTCGATCTCCTGGAGTTTAGCGTCCCTCATCTCCTTCTCCATGGCCATGATCGCCTGCCGCTTGGCCTTGATCTCCAGCTTCTTCGCCCAGGAGCTGGACAGCGTTTCCGTTGCTGTCGTCCGTTGCATGGACGCCCTACAGTAGTAGTGAGTGGGATTCACCATACGGAGGAGACAGAGGCACGTTGAGCAGTTGCGCCGCAAATCCAACTGAATCGGCAGTTTTCTCCCCAACGCAAGGCTTAACTTACGTGGTTGGTGGTTGGTTGTCGAACAACATGTTGTATTGATGCGCCAACGAAGCCATTGGTCACATTACTGTGCTGGTCTGTGGTGTCGTTGTTGTCAAGCATGCGGAGGTTTGAGGTCGTTACTCACACACAGAAAGCGTTAATAAAATGCCCTTAGGTCTGCCGTGTGAATGTGAAAAAATAGTGGGGCCCTATTGCCAATGGGAGCAAAAGCAGCGCCACGAAACTCACCTTTGCGATTGATTCCTGGCTTTCCAGTCCCTTCCGCTCACGCATCTCCCCTTCGGCGCTACCCCCATCCGGTCAGCAGCCGTGATTGGCCCATCGTGTGCTCTCTTCCCATCCTTGTCCTTGCCCAGCGACTGGCCCTCCTTACCCCCAACAGCCGCGACGTCGTGCTCGCCTGCCTTCGACGCCGATTTCTTTGTTTTGCTTTGACTTTCCCCCTCCTTTTCCCCTGCCTTCCCGGGCGTGATAGCCTCAGGCGCGGTCGGTGCGGGTGGCTCAAGGCTGTTGGCCACTTCCTTGGACTTTTTCGTTGCTGCAGGAGTAGTAGGACCACTGCTGCCGCTACTGGCGGCCTTCCTCTTCTTGCTAGATCGTGGCGGCTGGAGGGGGAGCGAGACCAGTGCTTCCGCTTCCACGGGTTCTCCTCCACCCGTCCCTTCACGTGATCGTGTCCTCATCGTTACTCGCGGGCTTGTGGGTGTTTGTGGGGATGTTGGGAGAGTTTGATCTTTTGGCCTGCGCCTAGCAACGGTGCTGCCTGTAGCGTCCCAGGTCCCACAATAGACGACCTATTCCGCCGCATGTCGCGATCTGACGACGCCGGACACCCACGGATCATGTGTTTATTTTTCAGGAACGCCTATCCACGGCTTCCGAGAAACGACAATTTCAGCGGCCGGGTACGCTCATGTCTCATCGAATGTTTTCGACTTTGCGCCGTACTTCTCTGCCTGTTCTTGCTCTCGTTCGGAGCGTACATCACTTTGTGCGGTCAAGATAGATGAAGTACATACATACGTACGGCGAACGGGCCGATAATAATTGCAGTACAGAGGTGGTGCTGAATTGAGCCAAGGCTCCAACTTTTGCCCCGTGTCTCAACGATGGAGCAGAGCACTGGTGAATTCTAAGTTACCATGTAGGATTGAGCGTAGCGCCGGCGGCTGTGCTCAATATCGTACACTGCTGTGGTTATCTACTTTCTAGAAAAATCAGAGCCTGGCTCTCATGCTTTTGTAGTCTTCTTACAACGGTTGGGCCGGCATTGCCGTACATGAACCGCATAGGCCTCTCTCTCCCTTCACGGGGGGCATGGAAACAACAGGATGCGCTTGTACGATCCACTCCGCGTGAGGTTCAATGACGGACAACAGCGGGCCATGAATTTTCGATAAGATCATCATCAGACGAACGCCGCGCTTATTCTCGTTACCAACGAAAAAAGCCGCAATTCTGCACAGGTGAACATTCGGCAGCTAGTTCTCGTCAAGACATTCGATCACCAACGAGAACACTGAATACAGAGCACCTCGCCCCTAAAACTGTACAGAGGGGCGGGAGCACCCCGGAGCAAGATGGTGCCGCATTCGGCACCAACCTCATTTATCAACACCGCATCCATCATCGGCGTGACCTGACACTGACAGACACGGCCGGAGGAAGCGAGTGCTCACGCCTGATACTCCAGCATTCTATGCTACACCCATCAGAATCCTGCCTGTACACCCGGGCAAGAGGCCCTACCAGCAAAGAATGCCGCGTCTTCGCCCCTAAATCTCGCGGATTTGTGCCACATCCGTCTAAGCCGGCAGGTGCTGCCGCTAGGCCACAGCGACACATGGCCTCCACCATACATCCAGCGCTCCGCCCAGAATGATGTCATCGCTCGGGACCCTTTACGAAGACGTACTCGTCATCGTCGTCGTCCGTTGTCCCGTCGTCATCCCTCTGGTTGATCATGAAGGCCAGCCCCATCTCCCCCTCGTAGTCTGGCCGCGTTTGCTCCACCGAGAAAGGAGGCGGGTTTGTCTGAGGTATGTCCAAGAGAGGGGCACGCGCATGCGCGAGGTGGGGATGGGTACAACGGGTTGGTTGATTGGCAAGAGATCCGCGTTTCCTGCGCAAGAAAAAACGGTTGCGAGGAAAGACCCGGTGGAAAATTGATGCATGGCACCGCCAGAGATTCGATGCGAAGAAACAAATTTGGGCGTCCACTAAGAGTCACATCTACGCAACGACAATCGAGGGTGAATACTTTTTCCTTTGTTACGCTTGCGTCGACGAAGAGTTGGACTTCTCCCCATCGCTCTGCCAGAGAGCTGTAACACGCAGATCAACAAGACAGCCATACATCCAGCTCGTCCGCGCTTATCGTGCCGTCGTGCACATGCATTGCGCGACGCTCGGATGACAACAACCGCAGCGACCCACGCGGTTCTAGGCCGGTGAACACGGTTGCACATTTAGCGCCCGTGGAAGAACGAAATCAACTTCTCACCTCTCCGATTCTTTTTATGAGGTCTTCGAAGGTGGCCCGGTCCGGCAGATAGAACGCCAGCGCCAGGGAAGGGTCGATGCGGTGCACGTCCATCGAAACAGCCGACTGGCAGTGCAGCGAGTGCACGTATCGCTAGGGGACCGACACAGCAACAGTGAGGGAAGGAGCGGCCCACGTCGAACACATAAAACTCCTGGGATCTTCAAACACTAGCGCGATAGGGTGCAAGGCCTCGCCGTGTGGTCTACGAACACAGCACCGGTTGACGCAGAACCTTGGGAGGCAACGACATCGCTGTCGCAGGGGGTATGGAGCACAGCAGCATCCGCATCCAATTCCGCGGCACGACAAACGTTTGCGTCACGACTGTAACGTCACGCGCCCATAGATACGAGGGCGACTGATGGTCGTCAGACACGAAAAATTCAGCGCTCTGGTTCACGTACCAAACCTTCGATAGTTACCCTACCCAACAATTGTATAGCTACGAGGTCTCCCGTGCAGAATACAACGCAGTTCACCTCCGAGGGGAAACCTTCGCCCATGTCGGCCGCGGGCTGCGTGGTGTGAGGGTCCAACCCCGTCAACGTGTTTCCTGCGGGGGAGCCAAGAATCGGGAAGGATCCGACGCGCGCAAGGTGGGAAGGGGGTAGTATCCGAAAGGTCTTTTAGGTGTTGAGAGTGGATCCATGGCAAGATCCAAATTGACGTTCAAGCTTCAACTACGCTGACGGGGGTCGTGGAGGCAAACCACGCCGCCGTCTTTGTGCGCATCGTCGTAGAGCCGGTCCTCCTGCCGCCGACGCCTACACAACTGGCACCCACGATGAGTGGTGTGAAGGTCGATCTTCAAACGATCTCCAAAACAACACCTATACAGAGAGCCAAAAAACAAAGCAATCATCAGGCTCTGCGGAAAAGCAAGTGTGTTCCGCCGTGTACCGCTCCCCGGCTTCACCGTGTACCTTGCGCGCCGATGAAGAAAATCGCGTGGTTCGGTCTGCCGCCAAGGAAGCCCAGGGACTGCGGCACCCGAAGCGTTTCCAGCAGACCTTGGTTGATCCGGGACACGCAGAAAGTGAGACTCGGGGGGTGTTTGCACGATCACATTTGGGTTGGGACGTACGTGAGGAGGCCGTACAAGGCGAAGGTAGCCGCCACGCTGACCTAGATATCTACGACAAAGACCGACGGCAGCACTTGTGCCCTTGCCACCATCTCTGCGACCAATGCTCCACACACATGGGGGGCCGTTCTCAACCTAAACTTCATCGCGATGGCGCCGTGTTTCGAAACAAAACGGCTATTCCTAAAAAAGATAGACAAGAGATCCTCCCTCCCCGCCACTCCTCTGCCTACGAGCTCGCTCACTTGGTATGTAACCCGTGCTGAGCTCGTCCAGCCCCAGCCTCAACGGCACCAGCAGCACCACAGCGCTCGACCAGGCCTTCTCCAGCGGGTTCTCCCCCTCGCCGCTCCCTGGATTCAGCAAGGGGTCGAAGAACGCGGGAGCGGGGCTATCGGTCGAGTCCGCGGCGGCGTCCGACCGTGCTGAGCTCGACCCGTCCCCTGTTGTTGCCGAGCCGTTGGCCTCCTCGCGGTGCTCGCCGCCGCTGACGGCGCCGTGACCATTCGCCGTCGTCGCCGTTGTTGCTGTGTCGCTGGCCCCTCGAATCGCCACCGCCTCCACCTCGTCGATGTACACGACGTCCCCCTGGGAGACAAAAACCCGGAGGGGTCGCGACGACGGAAACACCGCCCCGTCGCCGTTGCCCCCGCTGGGACTGCCACAAGCGTCGCTGTCTCCGCCGCCGCAACCGCTAGCTCCCCCGTTTGCAGCCGGCGAAGCACCACTTTCTCGTTCTGAACCCCCCTCTACGACGTTCTCGCCTCCCTCTAGTGACGTGTCCGAAGTTGCTTCCCCTCTACATGCGTCCCCCGCGGCTGCAGGCTCATCTGGTGCCGCCGAAACCTCCGCTGGTCGTAATCGTCCGGTAGACGACAATGGTGGTTCGGGCGGCGAGGCGGGCGGCGATAACCGCTCGGCGTAGATTTCGGAGATGTCGCGGAGAACGCAAGCCGCAGTTGTCGGCCCGTACCACTCTCCAGGTAGCTTGTCGTACCGGATGCCAACCTGTGTCATGTCGTGCATGGCCCGGCGGAAGGGAGTACGGTGAAGGACTGAATTTTCTGTGTGCTGCAGGCGGAAAGAGAAGAGGTTATTTGCCATGGGAACCTCAAAAGTGGCTACATAACGCGAAAGGATGCTCGCCGAAGGCACTACCTCACCCAAAAAAGGCTGGGAGCCAACCTGCGCCATGGACCGAGAATAGAAATACACAAGGCCGCGAACTGCACGCGTTCGTGCCGATTCGCCAGCCAGGGCGCACACCGTGTTGCTCACCTGGCACATGTTGTGTATCGAAAACAGATTTGCCTCGCCTGGATGGTCGGCGAAGAGACGGACGAGCGTGCGGTACTCTGGCACACGCAGGCGCTCTTCCAAAGTGCGCGGGACACGCCAAGACCTGCCGCATACGGTTGGCCAGATAAGGATTGGAACGAAGACGTGGCAGAGGGCATGGTACGGGGGGTACGAGGTTTGTCTTCGGTAACTCTAGTCGCGGCGCGCCACGATCGTGTCTGGCAGGCCTGAGGGAGGCGCACATGACGCTAACAAGACCAAGAAGACGATCTGGTTTGATTGGCACAGCAACTTGCACCTCCGCCACCCGAGAGGGAAATATCTCTTCTCGAACGTTCCACGCCTACCAGACGACCGATGCGTAACAACAGACGGATATCCGTAAGCAGCAGCAGCACATAGGTACAAACCGTGCTTCGGTCTACCTTCGCTTGCGAGCCTTACGTACCTGCCGAGGGTGTGGCGCTGCAACGCCTGGGTCATGAGCATCTGCGCGCTCCGGAGCATGCAGCCCCAGCCGGAGTCATCGGTGTAGCCGTAGGGCTCCATCTTCGGAAACCCGCTACGGTAGGTTATCCACATGGTCGAAAACACGTCCAGACGCCTCTCCTCCTCACGCAGCTCTGCGCGGCAAACGAGAGATGGCCTGCTCAGTTGAAAACCATCCATCACACGCGGCAGAGACGGGGCCGAGCCCCGAGGACAACCCGCTACTGCTGTGCCTTTCGGTGTTATTCTGCCGTTTCGGAACTCACGCCTCCTCCGCCTTCAAAACCTTGGTAACTGAGGCTTACGCAAGGGTTGCACTCTCGCGGGCGAAAAGCAACTAGGCAGACACAACACCCTTTCAGTGAAAGACGGATGCTGCTGTCTAGCTGCTGCTGGAGGAGGAGACGAGAAACGTCGGCGTACAAAACTATGGTCAAGCCTATTTAATTTAGAGTGTACCGCAACAAACAAGGACGCACGGATTTACGAGTGCACTGGGTACTCGACCAGACGCGAGAGGAAAAACATCTCTTTATTCCTTGGTGGAGGAGGCATGAAACGGGGACACAACTCGTGCCTGGATGACTTGAGGACTTAGCGCTGCTGCTGGGGGAGTTCAGGAGTTCGGTTGAGCAGCAGCAGTGTTGATCGACTTGAGTTGAGAGTGCAGTAGCGAGCAGAACTAACGACAAAGTTTCCTATTCCAAACATCATCAGTCTTTGATCTATCATCCTCGGCGACACCCGTCTGAGACATAGAGCATCCCACAGACAAGAACCTCGAACCTAGCTCAGAACCCTGTTAGTGTAGAGCCGCATCGCTCCACATTGGAGTGGTTAATTGGGTTATCAGCAGAACCCGATAACCAAGTATAACAGTTTACACCGCGTTTCAGTGTGTTTTTTCTTTGAAGACTGTGACGATATCATACGCACATGCCTCCCGTCCCCCATACCAGAATAGTACGAAACTTGTCGCACAACCGAATAATTGGACAGACGCTTCTGGCAAGGGACGTCCGATTGTTGCACTTTGAATATCCGGGAAGGTCTTTTCGTAGAGTCGCTTCCCCCATATGCCGTTGACCAACAGAGCGTGTAGATACAACCGAAGCACTTGCCATCTATCACACTGCTCTTTCTGCAGTGCTTGCACACGCACCGCGCCAAGACAGTTTTTAACGTTCAGAGACAGTCGTGGTCAGAGAGTGACACAGTACGGTAAGTTTCGCTGCCTAGTCAACGCGGGTGTCTACAGGCAGTGCTGGTACTTCGCGCCGGGCTTCAACGAAAATGCGGAACAACATGCCATATACAGCAGTAGTAGGTGTTACTGAGCTCCTTTCATACACGCTTCATACCTGTATAGGGAATACCCATGATCCACGTAGGCGCCGGTGCCCCATCATTTTCGTCGTCGTCAAAGAACGCCGCTGCTCGTGCTCGTATCATCAGTTGGCTGAGTCGCGCAGCAGTTGGCAGCACAGCACAGCAGCGGTGAGTGTCGATCAGGGGGGGCTGGCACCCAGGAAGAGACGTGAAATCAACCCCCCCTTCCATTAACATGTTTTTCGGAATGCCCCCAGGCTTGTCGGGTGTCGGGTGCAACGGAGCAACACATCCGTCTCTCTCCTGATGCGCTCACCGTGGGTGGGTTCGCTGGCGCTGCTTGCGCCCGCGCATGGGTTCGTGGCGCAGTCGGTAGTTGTGCGCGGTAGCTCCAAGATGCTTCAAGCTTTCGTGAGGCCATCGGCCGGCGGCGTACGCGCGGCGTCCTCGCGAGCATGGAGGCAGGAGAGCGTGCGGCTGCAGCAACTGCAGCGGGTTGCTCGTTTGCCACAGCCAGCGGCAGTAGTCGGCGATGTCAGGATGATGGCGAGCGGTGCTGGCGCCGGGGGAGGAGGAGGAAGCAAGGCGGCGGCAAAGAAGCAGAAGCCCAAGAAGCCGGAGAGCTACTACAAGAAGACGGTTATCCTCCCGCAGACTGGGTTTGAACAGGTGCGTGAGTGCCTTGGCTGACGAGGTGTGCGCTGCAGGCCTGGTGGCATTGGTGCTGACTGCGTGGTACGAGAAGTTTGGTGCAAAACGTGAAGGTGTTGACCGTTCTGTCGTCGTTCGGTCGGTGCGGTCCTAGATAAAGTGTCGGTAGCCTGCTGTGGTCAACATTTCCGAAACATGAGCTTGCTGCATGCTGCATACAGCGGTCGGTACATACCGCCGCCGCTGTCGTGTAACAAGTGTACAGCAGTAGTGCAACATGACCCCGCTGTTGGGATTGAACATCTCTTGATCTGTACCACGAAAGCAATAGAGGACGATCACAGAATCGCTGTCAAGGAAGAGGGGGCCAGCGCACGCAGCTTTCCAAGGTTATGTGTAATATATAATGGACACGTGGAACTCATTGGGGCAAAGTTGTCTTGTTCTCTCTTCGACTTATTTGCTGCACGACCCAATCCTCCCCATCCCAGCGCGCGAACGCCGTGAAGCGGGAGCCCGAGCTGCAGGCATTCTGGGACGAGGAGCGCATCTACGAGCGGGTGCTGGACGATAACACTGGCGAGAAGTATGTCTTGCACGACGGGCCACCTTACGCGAACGGAGACCTTCACATCGGACATGCCCTCAACAAGGTCAGCACTGCTGACCATGTTCGCAGGGCGCTTCTTGTACATAGTATCATGGCTTGCTCCTCCCTCGGCTACATGAAAGTCACCTACTGGTGCTGGTGTTGCTCATGCATTTACGCCTATGGCCAGCTTGTTGGCACGGCACCACCATACACGCTGCTTGGTTCTGTGTATAGTCGGACTCGCTGTGCACGCACAAGCCTTTTCACAGGGAAGGACGTGGTTTCGACGCAACACGAGTACACGGTTGACAGAATTTCCAGCGAAGTCTGTAGACATACTGATGTTGATCCATCGCGTGTTTCTGGTAGTAAAGCGTTGTGATTTTTAGTGGAGAGAGATGTAACATCATCGCTCACACACAACCGCGCTGGACACCCCCCTCGTACGTCGCTCCGACTGTCAGATCTTGAAGGACTTCATCAACCGTTATCAGATGCTCCGGGGGCGAAAAGTGGGCTACGTCCCCGGATGGGACTGCCACGGCCTTCCGATCGAGCTCAAGGTACGTGGGATCTCTAACAACCAGTCCGTGTTAGCCACGCCACAACACGTCGACGGTGACGTTTTCCTTTCACTCCGTGCCAGGGCTAGCGCTGCCATCAAGAACGGGGAGGTCTGTTGCGCATTTGCGGAGGCTTTCCGTAGCATGTCCCTCTACTGCCGTCGTTCCCGACACACACACACAATCATGTTGTTCGGTTTTACAGTAGAGCTACGTATCAACCACACAGCAACACATGGCGGTGCTAAACACCCGACGGGTTTCGCTGAACGGCGTTTCTACCCCTTCTCTTGGTGAGCAACGTCTTCGCCGCTCCGACACGATCGATGCCGCAGGTGCTGCAAAGCATGAAGAGCAACGAGCGGAGAGGGATGACACCGGTGCAACTCAGGAAGAAGGCGGCAGAGTTCGCCCGCAATACGGTGTCCAAGCAGAGCGCAAGCTTCAGGAGGTACGGGGTGTGGGGCGACTTCGAGAAGCCCTACCTCACTCTTCAGCCCGAGTACGAGGCGGCGCAAATCGAGGTAAGCCGCGCCAATCCTGCGGCCAAAACGGTTTATAAGTTCAACTCGGCTTGATTAGACGGAGCTGCAATTCACCTGATAAATGCGCTGGATGTGAGGTTCGCTGCTTTGTGGCTTGACCGCCGCATACTTGGCTCCCGCCAAGGCCAGCTGTTTGGTCGGACTGCTTTGGCACCCCCGCCCTGCATCCTTGACAAATCGCCCTTGCTTTCATGTATTCATGCTCTACATATAACGCCGGTTCTGAGTTCGTCCGGAGGTCAGGTATCGCCCTACCCCGCCAGACACATCTGCATACCGTGTCTCCCCTCGCGGCAGGTCCCCTCACGCATACCCCTTCCGTCAACCTGTCGTGTTTGCAACTCTGTTGTTGCGCGCCGGACGAGCAGGTGTTCGGCAAGATGTTCACGGAGGGACACATCTTCCGGGGGAGGAAGCCGGTCAACTGGTCGCCTTCAAGCAGGACGGCCCTGGCCGAGGCCGAGCTGGAGTACCCCGCGGGACACACGAGCACTTCGGTGTACGCCGCCTTTGAGGTGGGTCGATGGGGGCGACGGCACGTTTCATTCTTGCGTGGCAAACAAAACCTCTCTCTCTTGTATCTCTGCTTCCAGATTCCGGGTGGGGTGAAAGCGCGCTTCCTTGCGTAACGAGCACAGCCTCTCTCCGTGGCTGCCAGAATGCGGCGGTTGGGCGGTTGGGTTCTTTCTTGGGAGAGGTGGGGGGCTTTCGCGCGCGGGGGGGGGGGGGGGGGGTTGAAAGCACCCCAAGGCGTAAGAGGAGAGCGCCGAAGGGTGCGATTTGGTCTGTGTGTCGTAGGGTTCGCTTCTAACGCCACGCGAGGACTAACATGACGGTCCTGCGACGTAGTCGTGGTACTCATGAACGCGCGATCCTTCAGATGTGCCGCGCACGCTACACGCTCGAGCCACGTCATGCTTCCCCTCCCAGCACAGTTCTGCACTTGCCATATTTTTGAGCGCTACTCGGGTGGTCCGTTGATGCCTTTTTGGGGGGGGGTATACATGCTTTCCTGACCTACACTGCTACATGCGCGGCCTGCCCTCGCAGGTAAAAGAAGCCACGCCTGCCCTTGAGAAGTACATGGGGTCCGGTGGAGGGCTGGCCGTCTCAGTGTGGACCACTACCCCTTGGACGCTGCCGGCTAACCTTGCGGTGGCCGTGAGCGAGACCATCCGGTACTCAGTGGTGGAGCACGCTTCCCTGGGCGACAGGTGGGTGTTTTAAGTGGGGTGGGTAGAGGGTTTAATGAGGGGCGCACGCGACACGTTTTTTACTGTAGGAAATATACAAAACTACCCGTTCGAGGTATAGCCACGGCAGTCGAAGGGGGTGTGCTGACAGTCTTTACACTGAGTGGAGGGAAACACTCGGGGGGGGGGTTGTTGTGCTCCAAGAGGAGACGTGTTGAAAAGATCTACAGTACTGCTGTCGAGGCTTGCTGCAACAAGTGGTCGTACCGTAGCACGCAACGGGGCATTGTCTCGAACGGGTTGTCTTTTGTATAATGTTGTGTACATATTCTAGAACAAGAGGGTAAACAGAAACCATGTTTCAAGGCAGTTCACGTAGGCCATGATAAACAAACCACGGGATGAAAAGGACCCACGAACGATCGGCTGCCTTTCGCGAAAATCGCCATTATCCGCGGAACGTGAACGTTTCTAGGAAGCTGCTGGTGGCGACAGACCTCGTAGGCGCCGTTAGCGCCAAGATCGGTCTGGAAGAGGGAGACACGCTCAAGGTCGTGGAGACTTTTACGGGGAAGGATCTCATCGGCACCAAGTGAGAGCAAGTAGAAAAAGCTATGTCATATTCGCACTGCTGTACTGGCCGTGTAGTCCCTCTTGAGAAGATATCTGATGTGCTCTTTTTTCTCCGAGGCATGAACGTGCTCTGGTGGTTTAGAAAGCAATTTCCAGGAAGATTTTCGCCGTGCATTTACAGTGCCGCCCACAAAGGAATTCAACATTTATTTGTTGCGGAGGAATCGAACAGCAAAATCGCCGCGGGGGGGGGGGTGGTACTAGGCGTCAGGTAGGGCTATCTACTCTCTGGATTGACGGGGTAGATTTCGGTTGGCGAGGGCGCTTCGTTGACCTACTCTGGGAACACTTTTTTGGCAAGGGAAGGGCTAGGGTGGTGGTATTCGAAACTGTTTCATAGATGGAGGCATTGGTCGGCGTGGTGGCGTCGAGGTGGTCGTTGCGTAGCGGTAAATCAGGGTGACCATGGCGCACCGGGGTTCCGTGCAGTTGAATCATAGGTTTTGTATGTATGGCGCTGCTCGAAAATAGTCCAGGCTATGCATAGGAAAAAACAATGGAGGGGGGCTCCGTACGCTCGTTGCTCGTGACCCTTGCCACCGTTTGATGCCGACCGATTGTGTTGAATCCGCTGCTTTGCGTTCTTCATTGGCGAATCGAAGGCGTGTGAGTCGAATCCCAGCGGTGGAAAAGCAGGGCGCGTTGGCCCCGTTTTTCGAAGTACCTTCACCCACGTGTTCCGGAGGACAAACCATTTTCCTACTCTTAAACCAACCTCTTCGGAGGGCGATGCCACCTGTTTTTGCCCCCCGTACTTCCTGAGGAGAGAGGGAACTGACTCGAAACATAATTATGTGTATCTCTCTGCACAGTAACTCTCTCTCTCTCTCTCTCTCTCTCTCGCTCTCTCTCTCTCTCTCTCTTTCTCTCTTTCCTATGATTCTGCGGTCGCGTCCTGTGCGTGCGCGCGCACGCGCCTCTCCTTTCAGGTACCAACACCCCCTGTGCGACCGCGTGTCGGAAGTCGTCGTCGGGGGCGACTACATCACCACCGAGACGGGCACCGGCCTGGTGCACACCGCCCCGGGGCACGGGCAGGAGGACTACGTGACGGGGCAAAAGTACGGCCTCCCGCTGCTGAGCCCGGTGGACGACGCCGGGAGGTTCACCGTCGAGGCGGGGGACAGGTTCAAGGGGCTGAACGTGCTGAAGGTGCGCCTCGGTTGCGTGTTTTGGTGTTGTCGCGAGAGCGGCGTGTTGTGCACGAAGTGGAATGTTAATATCCGTTGTATATTTAGTTCGAAAATGTTGTCGTCAAAGTTGGCAACGTAATCAGTGGCCTACCTCCGGTTGTTTGTTGTTTAGGCCAAGTTTTATGCTTCCGCATCGCTTCGCCCGGCTTTCTGGTTCACGCTTGTCCCTCGAACACAGGTGCCTCGATTTTTCGTGCTCCATGCCTGCCCTGTTCGACCGCGAAAACACGCCTCCTCCCCCTAAAAACTCGACCGACTTACTGTACTCCAGGAGGGCAATGAAGAAGTCCTGGTAGCTCTGGAGGAGGCGGGAGGGCTCCTGGCGAGGGAAGCTTACCAACACAAGTACCCGTACGACTGGAGGACGAAGAAGCCGACGATTTTCCGCGCCACCGACCAGTGGTTCGCGTCCGTAGATCGTTTCAGGGACACGGCACTCAGCGCTATTGAGAAGGTGGGGAGGGTGACGTGTGTGAGGCGGGCGGAGCGTGCGCATAGGGGGAGGGGGGGGGGGGGGAACTTCTGGTGATGAGGCTCTGCAGACCCTCCTTCCACGTGGACCCTCCCCTCCGCCTGGACCCCGCCGATCTCATCGTTGGCGAGGACATCTTCGACGACCCGATCGCCGCCTCCGAGCTCCCTCGCCTTTTCGACAGCCACGTCTCCAACCCCACCGACTCCTCAGATCTCAGCTATCGCTCCAGATTCCTCCTCCACGACCCCTCCGACCCCATGGGCCTCTCCGGCCTCCTCGTCCTTCCCCATGCCTTTGGGGCGATTTATTTGGGAGAGACTTTCTGTAGCTATATTAGCATCAACAACAGCTCCAATTTTTAGGTTAAGGACGTTGTAATCA